CCCCACCCCCAAAAAAAAACCAAACATTTTAATTGTTTTATTACAGTAATAAAAATAATGACTTCACAATACAAAGATATAATCTCATTGGTCCAAGTGTCTAAAATCAGGTATTTCCAACTCTAAAACACTATTATTCCTCCAGAAAAAGTGTATTTCTCTTTACTGCATCCAAAATAACCACAACATAATGAATATACTCTCATGCATAGGGTTTGGTGAGGGTAGAGTAAAACACAAACCTTATTTTTATACTGTGAGGATAGGAAGGTTGTTTCTAATAAATCCCCGACTCAAGAATAGAAGAAAATGAAGCAGTAACAACAACAAGATAATAAAATAAACAACGTGAAAGAAACAATATTTACTGCATGAATTACAATATTAATATTAGAACTTTTGTTGGCAGCATTGGTGCCAGAAGAGTAAAAAGACACTGTTCTCAGTTTCAGGAATACTGTAATGCAAAAAATATAGAGGGGTAATTGTCTTCTTCTCTAAACCAATGGATATTTGAAAATTAAATGTGCAATTTTTCATGTATGAGCAATTTTGCAGGTGCAGAAACACTTTCCAAGAAGTGAAGCAAGAGTATGATACTCTAAAGACTAAGCTTGAGACTTACTTTCAGGTCTCTCTCTCCAACTCTCTAAAACATACAAAGTCAATCTCTCCGTAACAACATTGTTTGTTCAAATGTTTTCTAGTTGCTACAACAGAAATGCTACTATAGAGAACATATGATATAATACAACGTGAAAAGTTAGTTCAAAAAAGACTAGACCATTATAAAATATTGTTATAAAAAGGTCAGTAGTACAATCTCTAATCCATATTATCTATATCATTTAGAAAAAATTCACCTCAATAAACATATCTAACTGCCTTAATTTTTTTTAAAAAAAACAAACACCTAAACTACCTTTTATCTCTTTTAAATGTCGCATTTGGAGGCTCAAGGCTGAAAAGCCTTAGTGTGCTAGTGCTAGCAAGTTATTAGTGCAACAACTTGGTGTCTTTTAATCAACACTCCACTAATTAGACCGGTAAAAGAAAATTTGAAAAAAAAGAAGGTAATACATACTTTTTATTTTTTTTGAAACGACAACTATTTTATAACAATTCAATTTACCAAAACGAGAAATAATATAGCACCCACTTGATGAATCCAGTGGTATTCTGCAAATAATATTTTCAAATCTTGAATCTGTCTCTATACATGTAGTATGTGATGTTTATGGCTTCTTTTTTACCATTTGAACTCTGTAGATGGAAAGATAGTTTCACTGATGTTGAAAGCAAGCATCAGATTCGAAGTGAACAAGCCCATCATCATGACCTTCCTTCAAGTAGCTGATATACATGTATCCAATAAAGGATAATTGGATATTGTAGCATATATACAATATTCTTATCTAGAAATAATAATAACTATATGGCATTGAAAAAATGTATTTGCCATTCTGTTGTTTAAAACCTGTCAAAGTTTATTAATGCAAAGTTCATGTTTCCAATAGAACAGCTCTTTTTGTCTTCTATTTCCAGAAAAATAAATAAAAATTGACACCCAACGGCCTCCATGACAGTGTCGTAAATACTTGTCCATCCACGTTCAGTGTTTACATCAAATCAAACAATTAAACCTTAGCAATTGAAAACTAAAGAATAAATGTCACTTAACCAAGGTCGTGATAATTGTTTGTATGAAAAACACATGTTTGCATCAATTGAGTTGGTGTAAACATTGTTTCTCTTAGTTAAACCTATGAAAATGGCAATTTAAATCAATTTCAATTTTCATATTTACAACAATATCATACTACTATAGTTGCACAAGTGGGATCTGGGAAGGGTAAGATTTACGCAGATTTTAACCCTACCTTTTCAGGGTACAGAGGCGGTTCTGATAGACTCTCGGCAGAAAATACACTAGTTCTTATGTTTAGTTTTAGTTCCAAGTTTATAAACGAAAGGAAAAATAGAGATGAAGAGATAAGACACAATCATCTAATCTAATTACAATTCATGGGGAACAAAATAGCACGAGCTAATTGCACTGATCAACTAGTTTTGCCTTCCATGATTTTCCTATCAAAATAGCAGAAGTTCTTGGAGAGTCCTGAATATTGAGAGGTCAGTCTCTCTATTGTCAGACCAAGAAAAAAATTTCATACAGTATCAAAACATAACTTGGTAAACCTTAACTGTAGCCTGCATTCCTCCAGGAATAGTAATCATGTATAACTGACTATGCGGATCACCATCTCGTTCTTCAATTCCAGTATCAAGCTACACAAAAAATTTGAAACGCACAGCAATCCAATCATGACCAGTAATTCAGTGAGTCCTTGCGAAAGTATGAATGCTAATGAACCTAAGATAGAGCCAAAACTATTAACACATATTGTGATGGAGAAGCTGGACCAAGAGATATCTATGAACGCTGTGTTAAGATCACCCAGTGGTTAACATGCCAAATTTGTGTTCACATTGTTGATGAAGATGCAAAGAGTCATGGAACACGGCCAATATCCTTGAAATACTCATGTTCAAGGGCACTCCTGGCAGTGATTCTCTTGCTGGGGTCCAAGCAGAGCATTTTCTGAAAGTAATGAGGCCATGGATTTTAAGACAAGATTGAAACCCCTATGCATATAATTTTATTAAACACCTATTTGTTGTGCACATATTACGGAGAAAGGCACTAAATCCTTCATATAATCAGTTAAACAGAGAACACAATGATTTGCATATAAGCAACTGCAACCAAACAGTCCTAGGCCCCGATAGATGATATCCAAATATAATAAATACAAAGAGCTGAATGGAACAAAAAGACCTAGGCTAAAGTGACTGAAACAAGAATATGAATGAACACTGCAATTTTTATTTTATTTTTTGATAAAGGAATGAGCACTGCAATTTGGAACTTTCCTTTCCCTTGAGAACATTTATTTACTCAAATCTCTTTTCCCTACCAATGTCACAAACGTCATTCAGAATAGTTATAATTATTCTAGCTGTGAATACCTATAACTATTTCACCGGATTTTCTCAGAGAAAACCAGCAAAAAGGTTGGAGTTTCATTCAGAATACAAGAAAACTTTCTTATTCACAAGATGTATATATCATTTAGAAAAGCAAACTTACACCAAGGAGATCAAATCCTGCTGTATCAAGATTCGGGACTACAGTTGCCAGATCCTGCAATGTGAAGGACTTGAATTCAGTATTCTTTAGAAATGCGATAATATTGGCAGGAGAATCAGACTAGTCCTAAAGGTGAAAAAAAAGGAGAGAAATAATTAAACTCTAGATTACCTTAGGAGGCCATTTTGGAAATGTAGATTTATAATCAGGCAAAGAAGTCACTCCAGGCCATGTATCCTCATTTGGAGTACCCACCACTCTTCATACAGAAATAGTAGGGAATCATGACATGAATAAGGAAAAGATATAATAACAGAGAGGAAAAGAGTCATAAACTGTATACAAACTCAATCTTTAAACCTTCTCACAACCTAACCACCCCATAAAGAGAGAGTTGATTATAAATATTAGTAATTGATTGACTAGTATGTCTTTCAGCGCTTCTTCAGAACTGACGAGCCTTTAACATTTATGCTCTTCTATTTCAGTTATCCAACCCCTCCTAAGCCTCTTTCTTAATTCTAATTTTGGTCTGTGTCATAACATCGGCCACTCAATCCATCCATGAACAACCATTCAATAAAAATGGCTTTCTTTCAAATGGAATTGGAATGATCGACAAGGAGGACAGGGCATAAGGAGGTAATAAAATTACTTCCTATCAAAGGTAAAAATAAATAGTGAGTATGTTCACTTTTAGAAGTAACAAAGCATTCACTAAAAGACTGGCTATGCATGTTAACACCTGAAAATCTTGAAAAGTTCATCAATCTCTGAGTCTCCAGGAAAAAGGGGTTGCTGGTTAACCATCTCGGCAAATATGCAACCAGCTGACCACACATCAACCGGAGTAGAGTAGTGCCTTGATCCAAGCAGTATTTCTGGTGCCCTGTACCATAATGTCACCACCTGAAACAATGAAGTCTACTGTTGGAAGTCAAAAGAAACAAGCTCAAAAGGGTTGACGATATGCTAGAAAACAAAAATGAACAGCGTATCTGTTTTTGAAATCAATGAGACACAGACATGATAATCCAATCATTTTATTTTTCAGCCAAACAAAAACCTTAAGCTGGAAAAAGGTTGTTCATTTTAGACAGGATGCCAGATATTAAAGAGAGGCATCAGAAGTGACAACAGTTTCTGCTCATAGTAACTACTTTCTGGTCAAGTTTGAAATGGAACAACATGAGACAATGGAAATACAGGCTGGTTTGGCAATTTTGTTTCTTAGAGCTGAAACCATGTACATACCTCATGAGTAAAAGTTCTAACAGGAATACCAAATGCTCTACCCAATCCAAAATCTGCAAGCTTTAACACATTGGTGCGTGGATCTATCAGCAAATTCTGAGGCTTTAGATCTCGGTGGAGAACTCTACGAGAATGACAATAAGCAATACCACGGAGCATTTGATATACAAACGACTGCAAAATTGAAGATATTACTTCATTAACCAAGAACAAGAAACCTCTCAACCCGACAACTTTTTACCATTAGGTGGTGATACTTTCTCACATTACATACTCTGATAATCATATATTTTAACTACTGTGTAAGGGTGCATCGCCTTCCTCTTCAACTAAGACTGCTAAACAGAGGCATGGCAAACTTCATAAAGAAGTAATGCAACAGATGAGGCAGCTAAATATAACAATAATTGCAATCTCCAATGGAATATAGATCTTAATCTTACTCACTTTTACAACACCGGTATCCTTAGAGAATTCAGGACATGAATCCATGTGCTTCTTCAAATCCAAGTCAAGATATTCAAAGACTAGATATAATCGCTTCTCACTGTGAACCACATCCAGCAACCTGTTTCCAAATAATAGGAACATTTTTTCGCAATTAGACAAGTTAACTTCAAAATAGCTTTTCCAACATTAAAAATAAAAACTTAGTACTGCAACCCAAATTACTGTTATATGCATGCTTGCATCTCTTCTTTAGTTTCTAACTCCTAATTCAATCAGAAAAGGCAAGAATGTTGCTCCAGAAATGAACATAACACAATCATCCACAGCATTCATAGTATCCCCCCCCCCCCCACCCCTTTTGGTCCCCCTTCCATTTAGAGTCGTAATTACACAAGATTGAAATTCCCAAGGTGGACAGAAATTCATACCTACAACATTACACCCCAGCGCACTCACACCTATCTCATATATATATATCAAAAGTGGAAAGCTCTAGAGTGCAAAGTTGGATTACCATTTTACCCTTATACTAAATCCAAATGTTATTAAAAAATTTAGGGAAAAAGGACGAATTTACCCCCGAACTTTGATAAATGGTACGTCTATGCCCTCTGTTATACTTTGGGTCCATCTCAGCCCCTGCCGTCCAATTATCGGTACACACATGCCCCTCTCACTAACGGCCCCCTCATCCTGTACACGTGTTTTAATCCTAATCAACTACCCGTGTGACCATTGATTTTAACCCATAAACTAACAACCCGCCCCATAAACCCATACCCACCCGATTCCCTCTAAAATATCCTAAGTCAATTAAAAGACCCAAATCTTACATGTGAGTAATTAATAGAAATTTTTTTTAAAAATAATTACCCATTTAGATAGATGTACATGTTTCATCTTCCAAAATTAATGTTCATATTTAATCTTTTTGTCTTTAATTTATGGGAAAAAGGACAAATATACCCCCGAACTATCGTAAATGGTATGCAGATACCCTATGTTATACTTTTGGGACATTGATGCCCCTGCCGTCCAAAAACTAGAGCATATATGCCCTTTACTTTAACGGAAGACTAAATAGAAACACGTGGCGCAATCTTATCCGACGATCCGATATTTAATAAATGTCGAGTCGGTGGATAAAATTATGACACGTGTATATCTGTTAGTATAAAGGGTATATATGCTCTAGTTTTTGGACGGCAGGGGCACCAATGTCCCAAAAATATGACGGAGGGTATCTGCATACCATTTATGATAGTTCGGGGGTATATTTGTCCCTTTTCCCTTAATTTATTGTAATACTTGACCTTTCAACTTTGAAGAAAATTTCAAGACAAGAGGATTTGTGTGAAAATTATAAGGTCTATTGATGTGATTATAGGGATAGATAGCGCTTCAATTACTAGAATATTGAAGTTTGAACTATTTGTTTTTTACTTATTCGCAGAGATCAGAACTATGATGAGACCCCTCCATTTATGTAGTTGAATCAATGTCACTTTTGTTAAATTGTCTTCCGGGATTTTTTAACTCTTTTTTTATGGTCAAAGGTTGAGCTTGACTTCCAGGATTTTTAACTCTTCTTTTATGATCAAAGGTTCAGTGTTTATTACTATAGCTTTGTTTCAATTTGCATTATCAATACAAAGCACGTAAAAATTGTCTTAGAATATTTCTATCTTCCTTGGTATTTAATTATATAATGGCAAAATTTAAATACCAACAATTGCACTTTAATTCTTTAGTTATGACATCATAATTAAGTTTCCTTAGTTATAAATTTGAATTACTTAATTGCATTCTACTTAATGAGAAGGAGATTTTCATCTTCTACTAATTAATATCAACATTTTATCTTCTTGAATGTGTATCTTGTAACTATTCATTTAATTTCAACAAATGATTTTTAAGAGAACAACGTTAAATGAAGAACTATTGTAAATGTGGGTGAT